CCTGATCCTATACGCGAATCCCTTGATATACTGCCAGTAACCAAGGCTGATACAAAGCTGCTGCTGCTGTCTGGGTTATCTTATGTAGGGCCTAAGCTAAGCTAGGTCTAAGCGTAGTCCACAGCGACCCATTAGGATCTTTATGCTCCATTTTTTATTCCCTATCATCCAAAAAAATCCTATCCATTAGGTGAATTAAGCGTCTGAGTGAAAGCCTTCTAAGTCTTCTGATGCCGGATATGCTGACCCAAGCAGACCCATCCTTACAGTATTGATTCATGGACCCCACATGTATTCCACATGCTCGAGAGCTGTCTTCTGTTGTTAGGCCCATTTTGTGGGACATGTGGTTCGTTCCATAATGCCCAGTTTGCGTACCAGTAATTGCTTGGGCTTAGGTACCTTTTATTTCCGCTTAATGAGTTTTCTCCATGACCCTGTGTTTCCCTTTAGGAATGATTTGGAGAGGCTTATCTTATATCGTTGGAGCTTTCCCATTCAGCACTGTGCTTCTTGGATATGGCCATATTATGGCCATGAGGTATGCCGTTAGATAAAGGTAAGTATCAGTTCTGACCCAATAGGTATCGCCTCTGACCCTAGTTTCGCTAGACTGTCGGCTCTCCCATTGCATTTGATCCGTGTATGTCCAGGTATCCCACATCAGGGACACTTTCATGCCTTCCGAGTTTGTTCATCTTTAAGATTGCATCTAGAATAATTCTAGACTCAACCTTCACTGAGGCGATGGCTTTTTGTTTGAGTGCTGCCTGGCTGTGGATCAGGATGTAAATATTGCGTTTTTTACACCCCTGTTCTTTAGTGCACACATATTATAGCGTAGAATTCAGCTTGAAACACTGTAGCAAACCTCCTTAAGCGTTCACTATGTTCGAAGTGTTTACAGTAGACGCCCGTTCCCGTTCCCAAGGCCATCTTTACAGTGGCGGCGTAAGTCCTAAGGCACCCCCTGGTAACCCCCACGATTTTGGGGTTACCTACCGATTCCAAGATTGAAAGACAATGACATAGACCGCAGAATTCCTATGCAGATGCGCCAGTGAGTACTTATCTGTGCGACATGTGTCACCCTGTGATGCTTGGCACCCGGCCTCCCCCCTACGCCGCTACTGCATCTTTGAGCTATCAGTAAACCAGATTAGGCTGTTCTGTTGGGATTTTGGTCCTCTTTTCTAGTCGTCCCTTGTTCAAGATCTATCCACTTACTTATTGGATCAATCCAAGGGGTTCGCGTATAGGATTAGTTGCAAGCAACCGACTCAGTCTTCCCTTTACCCGACTGGTTGGGGGTGGACCAGAGCCGATAGCGAGATGGAGCCTACATGGACCGGTTTGCCCGTAGCTGCCGTGGCTTGCCTGGAAATGGTATGATGTAAGTGCCAGAAGTAGTGCAGAAGCTGGTGCTGTCTGAAAAAAACAACTAAAACGGTCACAGCCGTAACCTTTGTGCTAAAAATATCTCCCGTACCTACTATGATTGTCAAACCTCATTTCCTCACACTTACCTTTCCGTTAAATCACTGGTACAATAGTATGTAGAAATAAGAGTGTTAATTAAAATAATAATAATCATTAAGACGTTTAGACAAATTAAAGTTCTTTATTTAGTGCTTTCTTCTTATGATATTTTCAATATTAAAATGTATTTAAATTATTTTCAACCTTATGTCTCACACATAGAGTTCAAAATCAATTGACGAAAAAATACAAATCATGGTAGATTGATGTGCCAGCAACTCTAAATAAATTCTAAAATAATAATTCTTGCTTGCTTATGAACCAAATAGTATGAATTCATGGATAAAATAAATATTTTTTTCCGATGCGCAATAAAATTCGCCCGCTGTGTCCTGAAGAAAAAATTTTTTTCACCTACTTTTTGCGAAAAAAGTACCATACAATGTTATATTTTTATAATCCTGATAAATGTAGCTTTCAGGTCATATTTTTTTTATTAGATTATCTCCAGTGGTTTAAAAGTAAACGACGTTTATTTAAAAAAATACTTTTTGGTTTTTGTGAATTTTACTCAATATTTCAATTTTTTTGTATGAAAAGGCAAAAAGTTTGTTCTAGAAATGAATTCGCCATCCTTTAATTATCCGAAAATGATACCACACTTGCCCTAATACCCATAGTTTTGAAGATATGGGCCTTAAAGTGAAGCGCGGCGGAAGGAAACTTGCCCCCCCTCCCCCTGCTACCACAGGGGGGGCTCCCGATGTCTACCGACGGAAATCCACTCAGGAGCACCCAAAGAAACACTGTTGCAAAAATGAGCCTTCTATACCAAAGTGGAGGGGTCTCCATACAAATCATTGCACTAAATTCCCTACTATATGCACTGTGCGGGGCATACGTCGTTTTTTAGAGTCAGCATACATCGACCCGTCTCTTCTTAAACTCTTTATTTTTGTTAATAAGGTATCTACCTACTTTGCATTTTCTACAACAAGTTGGTTGACATTGGTAGGTATAATGGCATTCAATGAACTTCCTTCCTCGTTAAATTCGGTAGAATAGGTAAACGTTTTTGAAGATAAGCAGGTAATGTATCTCAATGGCACTTGTTTGTAAATAGTAAGTACCTATAATAATAAACGAGAATCTTTCTTTAAAAACACACAAGGCCGCAAAAATTCCAATGTCAAAGTCAGTATTTATTGACTGGATTACAATTGCTTAGAAACTTTTACAGATTAAGACTGTGTTGCACCATCTTACTTTAACTTTGACAAACGTCAAAAATCTGTCAAACTTCATACAAAAAATACCGGGTAGCGTTTAGTTACGGTCAAAGTTAGGTGGTGCAACTCAGCCTAAGTACACTATAGCTAGTTTTGAGTTATGAAGAGCTCAAAACTAGATAATGCTCATGACACTAACATTTGCTCCCAGCGAGATTCGAACCCGCAATCACAAGGCTGTCCAACAAATATTCGATTGCAATGCGAATTACCTTTCACTAGTGCATGATGGGCAAGGTGAACTAGTCAACCACCTGTAGGTACGTGTTTACCTTTGGTATATCCGCTAGGTAGGTATCTTACATGTACAGTTATGAAAATAAGGTAAAAATATTTTTTTTTTAATAATAAAAAAAACCCTAAGTCTTTTCTAAGGACGTAATCAATGATACTGACAATGTACTGTAATGATGTTGTTTCTGGGTGTTTAAACTCTATTTATTACAAAAAAGTTAAACCCTGTCAATTTTAACCGGGGTTCAAACCGAGACTAACTTTTTGTAATAAGGGGGTATAAGTATGCACATTTTCTATTCTGTATAAGCGAAAACCTTGTTTTTAATGCAGCATCAAACCCTTTTAATGAAAAAAAAGTTTCCTTTTTTTACCAACCTACTTATACAAAATATAAATAAAACTTAAGTATCTAAGAATCAATTTTTGCAAAATAATTAAGAACGGATTATCAGCTGATCATTTTCAGTTGTCACCTACTTCATCATTTTCACCTACTTTAAAAAATAATTATCTTTCACAGAAAGAAACTCAAAACACAATTCAAGTGAAAACATGGACTGTAATCATTTCAATTGATTGGTTTAATTTCAACAATTATATTTATTTCAATATTTGTTTAGAACCTATGAAATTGGGTCCAGATTTCAGCGTTGTTACAGAATCTACGACTGAAATGAGTTTGTTCCGGCATTTCTTCTCTGCACTTGCCAATTTTGTCTCGAAGCGCTGGTAGGGTCCAAAAATAAGGAGACATGTAAAGTGCCCCTTGGGCTTTTTTACTTATTTTTGTAGTGCGTGCCCAAAATATTGACCTAAATTGAATTAATATTTTTGATTTGATTTGAAAACTGCAAGAGCGTTTATTGTAAAAATGACCATAATAATTTATGCAATAAAGATTATCCTTTATATGCAAACTTAGGCCTGACAATTTTCATTCGGCATTACATTCGCAGATTTACCCGATAATTGCATTATTAAAATTCACATGCGCACCTAATTGAATTGCATATTAGTGACTAGCTCACCTAAATACTGAGTAGCACAAGGTTCTATGCTCGTTTCGACATGGACTCTGATTTGAGAGTACTATATTTAATTTTGCTAGTATACATGTTATTTAAAAGTCATTAAAATAATACGTAACTTAAAAAAGTAACTTACGCCTGTATTCACAAACGATGCTTGCAAGTGAAGCAGCAAATCGAACGCACAGCATTGAGACCTCATAGTAATGATTGTGTATACGGGCGTTAAAAATAAATAGTGTTTGTTTACAATAGACACCACCAATCAATTGACGTACTTTTTAAAACTGTCAAAACGAAACTCTCCCATAGATTTTGTATGGCACTACAAGCAAGTGACGTCACTATTTTGTCAACTCAATTAAACTACTTTTTTCAATTACAATGCGACCAAAAATCGTAATTTACAGTTAATTTAAAATTAATTAAGTTTTTAAGACCAGAATGAAGGGTATTTTAAAAAAAGTTGTGGTTTCGAATTATTGGGGTATGGTGTCAAACTGTCTACTACTGAAATAAAAATTACTTTTCATAAGTTGAGAGAGATTCAGACCAAGAGCATCCTGATTGTGGATTAAAAGTAAAGAAATGTTTTTTTTAAGCAAAGCTCTCATACCTTATTCAAATTAGAAACTCTTTAACCTGTGATATTGAATGACATAATGTTTTAAGTCGGTTAAAATCCTAATACAATTCGTCATAAAGTCATCGCTAAATATTTGAACTCTGTTTTGTCGATCTGGATAACTCAAAATTATTAAAGTAAGTACGTTTTCATAAGCATTTCTTGATTAAATAGTATTTTATTTAACAATAATGTTAGTGCATTATTTTATTGTGCTTGATAACCAACACTGATTAGGTTTTACATACTCGCGAAACAACTTCATGAATTATTTGAAAGTAATATGTTTAGTTAATTTATTAAAAAAATATTTAATTAACCAACATGCTATTTGGTACTTACCATACAGTGGTCCCACCATGATGAGGTATAAAGCGATGACCAAAAATATTTGCATACGTCCATTCATAGCTCTAGGTCGCAGGGCAACCAAAACAGTATTGCACACGAGCCCGAACACATCACTGAATAGTTTCACACACTTGTTCCTGTTTGTCTCATCTTGCACCACATTACTATCCTCAGTCACCACATCTTCGAGTTTGAATATACCGTAAACAAAAGAAAAAACATGTAAACACAATAACAACGAAAACACGCCGTAGTATCCCAGTGCGCGTAACAGAACACCGCTCAAAGCCGTTCCAGTCGGAGTCCCGAAACTGACAAATATCGTCACTATCCCCAAACGAAACGTCCTGTTTTCCACTGTAGTCCGGTCAGCCATGAAGCTGTACATTCCCATAAAAATAATTATGTAGCTGCCAGTCAGCGCGGCCGGCAGCGCTTCTATGAGAGCCGTCGCCTGTAGAGACAGCTCCTTGAAGTAGTACGTCGCTAAAAGTAGTCCCGAGTTCGTTATAATCTCCCCGACGAACGGGAAGAGTATGCAGATTTTCCGTTTTTTGTACTTGTCGCTCCACGCGCCGACGAACAAAACTAGAACCGCCGGTATCGCCGTCTGCAGAGGGAACTTCCAAGCCATCACCGTGGCCACGAGCGCTTGCACTTGATTCAGCTCCGCCTCCAGACCGGTCGTGTTGAGGTCCCTTATCCGGTCGCACACGTCGTCCCCGAAGTCATAGTGCACTCGGCACGATTTCTCCAAGTGCATATTCTGCACTGCCATCGATGAAAGTGAAGTGCACAGCATGTAAACAAACAAGCACGGCTCCACGGTTGTTTCGCGAAAGAAGCATTTCAGACCTTTCAATATACTTTTCGATTTCTCCATCCATGTTCCTTTCTTGATGTTTTTCGTCAGCAGCATTTTCGAGTTGGTCAGTTCTGAGACGCTGTATATTTTTTCAGTGCTCGCGTTCATTTTTTATTTTTCGTCCCCGTGTCCGCCCAGTGGGCTGTGACTTTCCGAATGTGTCCAAAATCTTGAGCTATAAAATTCAGGTAGGTGTCGCGCGCTATGCGTGCATACGAGTCGCTCGCATCGCCGCTGTTGCGATAACATGGGCCTTACCGGCGACGACACCACTTTTAAATAAATATCTCATTTATCTTGCACCTCGTGTTACTGGAGTCATTTTTACGCTGCGAATTGTGAATAAAATTTTTACACTAATTACTGTGAACAGAGTTGGCTTGCCATTGTTGTAATGAAGGCTGTGGCGTGGGCCAATGTCTTTTTATCGTTGGATAAGAATAATTATTCCGGTTTTATGTTAATAAGTAAGACTGTCAATGATATTTGCTTGGCTTTAGTTGTTATTTCACTTTAGCCGTGGAATAATCATGACTGAATCTTTAATTTAATGTGAATGAAAATTCAATAGCAAAAAAGTTACTGTGGTACTGAAATTGGTGCTCTATGAGTTCACACTCTTGTAAGGTGGTTAATTTTATTTGTATTACAACGAGTAGGTATTATTTATGTTATTTTTAAAACTTTACTTATCTAGGCACTTATGGGAGAATTTAAATAAATAACAACTTAAAAAATGCGTTCCCCTTCGATCCTTATAATATTTGCATCGTATGACATACGAGTAGGTATAATTAACCTTTTATATGTTTCTCTTATTTTTATTTAAAAATAGCCGCACCATTGACCGCACGACTAAGAATAATTGCTTTGATAAAAAAGCGTAATTAATGAACAATTATTAAAAACGTATTTCCCTAATTGCCATATTACAGTTCCACACACATGAATTTTTGAATCTTCGACACCAAATTCCCATTAAAACAAAAAAACGTAATTATTAAAAATTATGTTTAAAAAAAAACATGAACTTATATTCTCGCCAGTAGAAACTGGTAATTTCGCAAAATTATTACCTGTTTTGATTTTTTGATTTTGATTTGATAAAGTGAAAAATACGTGTTTTTGATAATTACTGGACACGTATTTTTACTTTTACAAACTAATGAAAATTAAAATAGATAAAGCGCGCCAAAGTTCAAAAGAAGAGGCTAGTGACGTCAAGGAGTGCTTAAAAATGTAGCACTTTGTGACGTCATGCGAAACGTCAATGCACCACAACTTGGTAGATACTTGTTTGATTGACAAATAAAAATTTACGTGTCCAATTTTTTTTTGACGGACAAAGTTTTTTTCAGGAAACTAGGCTCCTATGAAACATCTTTATTTTCTGTAGGTATCCTTTACTAATAGATATTGCTTCAACAATTGCCTATGCAAACAAAATAACATTTAATGAGGTGAACTGGAAGTGTGGCTTTGATGTGTTGCGCAGGCTCCGATCATTATGTAAGTAAAGTAGCTCGACCGGTGTACATACAGCACGTCAGCCTTCACATTTCTGTTGCTAAATCGCCTTTATTCCAACCACATAAGGTACCACAACGTTGCGCTGAAGTGCCGTCGTCTGTGCAAATACCAACTAATGTTCCACTTGAACCCAATACTTTGCATCCGGATTTTAGTACCAGGCTTACCCAAATGCCGTTTAGCGAATCTAGAATACGTAATAGAACAATACATTTTGAACTTAGTAACAAGGTAGGTAATTATAGTTGAAAATTGATAGTTGATTATGACTCCACAATTCAAATTTCACCGATGTCACCTTGATCAAAAAACTTCAAAATGTATTTATTTTTTACTTCCGTCCTGTTATTGCTCTAAATATTGATATTCAACCAAAAAGTAGCCTCAATCTACGCTTGAGATTACTTCAAGTTCTAGAATATGATATCAAATTTAATCATCATCTTCATCATCAGGTCATGTCTCCACAACAGAAATACGACCCTCTCATTTATCAGGCCTTAACGGGACTATTCCCACCTCTCGTTCCTACCACTGCAACTCCTGTGTAGCCAGGATCTACAGCTTGACCGCCACAAAAACCCAACCAATGAAGGTCAAGTTTGTCCCGGGGGAAAGTTAAACTGTCATTGGACTCGCAACGAAATTAATCAGAAGAACATAGGAGGAGTTCGAAATTATGGTTCGACTTCCCTCCATTGCAAAGCGGATGACAGGTGACAAACAAAGGTTTAAAACCTTTAAGAAAAGATTATGCACTACGGACAATGGTGGTATCAGGACTTAGCTGTCCAGATGGGTTGAGCGCGTTGATCTCATGATGATCAGAACAAATACACAAAAATATAGCAGGGAATCAAACCCACGACCACTGAGTCAAGAGTGTCTTACAAACGATGCTTGCTTAAGTGAAGCAGCAAATCGAATGCACAGCGTTGAATAGAGCTCTGTGAATAGTTCGTGTGTCACCCAGTGCACGCGCACTCTGAGACCTCATAGTAATGTTTGTGAATAAGGACGTTAATGTCTGCTAATGTTTTGTTTAATACTTACTGGTGACTTGACTTTACTTAAGGTCCTATGTCCCCTAGATGGGGCAGAGGGCGTCCACAACAGTCCTCCATCGCGTTCGGTCTTGAGCTTCGCGTTTGATCTCGCTGCAGGTCTTGCCGATTTTCTTCGCCTCGTCTGCTACAGTGTATCGCCAAGTAGGCCAGTGTGCTTACCATGAGTTTACGTTAGGTGTGCTCGCTAGCGACTGCGTAAAAAAATGACATTAAACGTATGACATATTGTGCAGCGCCCCTAGTGGCAACTTTCAAGAAATAAAATCTTCATAGGTTTTTTGTACTCGCTAGCGAGCTCACCTAACGTGAACTCATGGTAAGCACACAGGTCTACTAATCAGAGGTGGAATTGTGTAAAGCAATCGTAATCAGTCAAATGATTACGATTGCTTTACACAATTCCACCTCAGATTTGCTGCTAACCGAAGTTGAAGTAAGAGGTGATATTGAAATAACAAAATGTGATAGCTATTCAAAAAAATCTCCACTCCTTTACGGTTTGGTGGAAACCATAAAAATGTACTGACTGCAATATTATGGACGTTTCATCAGTAAAAATAGAGGTTTATAAAGTCTTGTTTAAATAAACCTGTAGGTAACATTCTTTTTTACGACCATCATCTTTCTTTCACATTATCACATTGTCATGTTAGTGACTATCTTAAACAAACGGATAAAAACGTCTATGCCAATATTTACACAGGTTAATAAATGATTCTTTGCTTGTATATACTTACTATACTTTTACCTGTAATGGAACATTAGGAATTCGTTGCATGTTTGTGATAGATCTCTAGTTTAGCCATTTCAGCTAGCTAAAGCGGCTCTTATAGTATAGAACTTACATAGTAAAATGAATTTTGGATTAGTTTTGCCACAAACTACTTAAGCGCCGAACTCGTAGACAGTTAAAGAATGATTAACGGGGCCGTCATATGGTAATGAACTGATAAAAAGTTAATAGTTTCAGATAAGTGTTCCTAGGTATGGAGTTTGAAAAATCAGTGTAAGCGTCAAAAAGGCGATGCATAGTTTCGAGAAAACCCTCCAAGTATAACGAGCAGATTCGACAAAAAACATAGTAAGTACAATACTTGACCCGTATGCTAGCATTCCAGTGCTAGGCGATAGCCATTCGATGTTTTTTATGCAGAACAAGGCAGGTATTTGACCGCAATCACACCTGATTTTAAACGAGATACAGCCTAGGTTGGTGATACCTGCCCTGCCGTATAAGTGTCTGCCTGCATTATAGTGTTCGGGAAAAACAGCAGCAGGCAGCAAATTCCAGTTTCTAGCTGTTCGCATTATAAAAGGGATAATGAGCTTACTATCCCACGGGCAAAAATGGTGTATTAAAGTTTAATCTTCTTCAATAACGTGTGTAGTAACAGGTGACGCCATAGGAAACTAATATGACTGATGTCCGTAGACCTCTACACTTCTCCGAGGCACGGAATCTTGTTTATTTTTAAATAATAACAGGTTGATTCAAGCCAATATCAACAATATCTGAACCAAACTGATAATAGCGGCACGAAGAGACTTCACACTGATCCGTGAAATAGACAATTTTATTTCATTGAATAGGTCAGACGGATTAGCAAGCTGAAGTGGCAATGGGCAGGGCACATAGTACGCAGAACTGACGGCCGATGGGGCAGCAAGGTTCTGGAATGGAGGCCGCGTATCGGAAAACGCAGCGTGTGACGTCCACCTACAAGGTGGACCGACGACATCGTAAAGGTAGCAGGGAAGCGCTGGACGCAGGCCGCTACCAATCGATCAACATGGAAAGCATTAGGGGAGGCCTATGTTCAGCAGTGGACGTCCTATGGCTGAAATGATAATGATGATGATGATAGGTCAGATATTTTTATCAATATTCCTAATTTTTATTGCACAAATTTTATTAATAGTCACGTTATCCTCACGTGCTAAGATAAGCTTGTGTAACGGGTGGGTTCACCATAATATTCCAGCAGTGTAGCGGTGGTGGTTCGAACCAGTGTTCCGTGGATATTTACACACCTTCACCGTTGGGCTATTTTCGCTAGTTAACTCGCTGTCTTGTATTATGACGGCGCGATTCTATTTTTAATAATATTCTGTCAATTTAAACTTGATTAATTAAGCATTGAGTTGCAAAAATAAAAGTAATTCCATTGATTTTTTGACACATAGATTACTGTCATATTATGATAATTAGATTTTTATAATTTGATTGCATTCATGTAATAATTTAGATTTTGTATTAAGATTCCAAAAGAATTGTCTGTATTATTAAAATGAGCTTAGTTAAAAAATAAGTCACTAAACTAAGGAGGGACTGTGTAGTCCGCGTGGGCTTGCGAGTTGCGTCAGCGTGCGTAGTGGGGGTAGTGGGGAGACTGCCTCAGTAGCAAATCAACGCCCGGTAGTTCAGTTGTGTTCGAGGCGTCGCGCTGAACGTAGCTCGCAATTCTACGTACTCCGTAAAGTATTTACATTGTTATTCTGTTCAAACGAATAAACGTTTTTTAAGTGAAGTGTTTCGGGTCTTATTTAATTAACGCTGCTTCCCGCCTATGGACTCGCATGAGCGTAACCACAAGCTCGGAAATCCTTCATATATTTCACTCTGTTTGAATCTATATCTTGCCTGCTTGCCTATTCTATTCTGTCATTTAAAAAAATGCATTTTTGTGTAAAAATTACAAAGTAGTGCCTCCGCTGCCGGCGCGCGCCGGTTCCCAAAAATATGGCCATTGGGAACCGGCGGTGATACCACGTGATTCGCTGCCGGCAGTCAAAACGG